CTGTAGCAAATGTAGCTATTGCTCATTGTGAATGTTAATGCATTAACTAAGGTTAACTAATGAGGTCTGATTGTAAAGTGATACCTATAATTCTTTTGCAACAACACTTTTTTGCAACTAAATTTCAATATCATGATAATACCGTTACCGTGATAAAAGCATTAGCAATGAATCTCAACATGGTACCTGGGAATGAGCATCTTCTCCTGTATGTAGGCCAGGAACTGAGGCTGATCTTTCCTGGCGTGATACAGGCATTCTCCGTGCAAACACAGGATCTTCAGACAGCTGAGCATGTTGAAGAGGATGTCTGGCTCCTCAACATTACTCATCTCCTACAAGAAACATCGCAGCAGACTCATGAGAAACATAAACGCCGCACAAGCCTGACTGAACAGAGTGAGATGTTTACCTGCAGAACGGTGTACAGAAGCTTGAGAGAAACAGGAAGCTGTAGGTACAAGAACTTCCTGTCTGCACTATTCTTTAATGCTAGGGAACAGAAGACAGAAACAGAAAATATAATGCACTAATACATGGCTAGTACACAGATCTGTGAACGTATGAATATTTGATGAAAAACAATGCATAAACAATGATTGTTATTGGAAACGGAGCACATACGCGGGATCTCAGGAGAGGGATTGTGGCTGCCGGGGTTTTCTGACGGAGCGTCTGCTTTATCTGCTCCATTCTCTGATTTAAGATTGAATTCAGTTTGAGGGAAAACCAAACTCTCCTCCAGACACTCGGATGGTTCCTGTCAAACACACACGACACGGTGAAAAACCTCCTCATCTTTATCATTCACATCTGTGTGTGTGGGAAAATTATAATATATTCATGCTAAATGTATTAAAACTATATTAGATTCAGGAATGTGATGTGATGAAGTGTAAAAAAGCAGAAGGTTTGCGTGAGGTTTGGCAGGCTCAGTGCAACAGTCTGGTCCTAACCGTCTGATGCTTATTTCACACTGAACCAGAATCATTTTCACTGCATAGTAAGATGTAATCTGACTGCCTGGTTTTACACAACGTCCAGGAGAAAGAGCAGATGGGTGTTTTAGTCATTAGTCACTGTAAGGGAGCGAACTTGTTCAGTTTGAAGGGAACTATGAATGGCATAGGGAATAAGGGAACATAAGGGAACGTGAGTCGTATTTTAGCAACGGTTTGAAGTTAAAAATGTCTGAATGCTGGATTTGTTTCAGCTTTTATCTTCTCCAGATGTTAACTGATGGACTGGAGTGCTGTGGATTACTTGTGGATTATTGTGATGTTTTTATCAGCTGTTTGGACTCTCATTCTGACGGCACCCATTCACTGCAGAGCATCCATTGCTGAGACACTGATGCAATGCTACATTTCTACAAACCTGATGAAGAAACAAACTCATCCTTGTCAGGGGTCCGGGCCCTGTGTTTCTCCCTCTCACCACCAGAGGTCGCCATCTCCCTTCCTCCCGGACTCCACCCACCTGTCACTTATTACACCCTCAGCTGCTCCTCATTGTCATGGACTATTTATACACCACACTTCCACCACTCTGGCTGGCTGAATTAATTGTATTGTAATTGTTATTTCTTGTTTGTAGGTTGGATGCAAGCACCTTCAGTTGTCGTATTTCTATCCCGGTCCTGTTCTTGTTTGAGTTGTTTTTCAGATCTTGTTTGATCTGTTTTTGTTTCTGTTTTTGTTGATTAAATCTAGTTTCTCCTGCACTTGGACCCTGACCCTGTTTTTCTACAGTGCTCCCTTACTGCTCCGTGACAATCCTAATCTGGGATGGCCTGAAAGTGAGCACATTTACAGCTAATGACGAGAATGAAATAAGTACTGGATTTGTCAAAGTTAGTGACTCAAAGGTTTGAGTCTGTCACTGTATTTTAAATGTTTTTCTACATTAGTATGATATAATATGTCTCAGGTAACCCGTTGGCAGTGATGATATGACGTCCAGTCAAAGGTCTGGCTTCACGAGTCAGTGGAAGGGCTTTAAAGTACCATTAGCTCAGTATAAAGACAGCAGAGGTCAATGAAGAGCCAGCGATAGAACAAACGAGTCTCACCACCAGACGTGTCTCCTCGCGCGGCGTCAGTCTCTGCAGCAGATCACAGGCCAGATGGTAGCACAGGATACTGGACTGACACAGACTGCACTCCAGAGCCTTCTCGTCCTTCTGACAGGTGTGCGAGCCGCCCCACGGAGCCTGCAGCACGCTGTTGATGATGCCCACCACATCCCGGCCCAGACTGCTCTCCAGCCCCAGCGTCAGCGCCTCGTCCTGCAGCTCCATCTGCACCAGAACACCGGTCACATATCTCCTGAAGACTGTGCTCTCATCTCTGTGTGTGTGTGAATGACTTCACCTGTTTAAGCACCAGGTCAAACATGAGGATGAAGCAGCCCAGGTTCATGTCGTCATCATCGCAGTCCAGGTCCAGGGCGCAGTTTCCGGCAGCGTGGCCGAGGTTCTTGAAGGGGCTGCAGTGCAGGGGGCTGCGGAACGGACTGGGAAACGGACTCAGGTTATTGTGCTGCCCTCTCCTGCCGGGGTCTGACACCACACTCACCTGCGGCGGAAACACATTCTACAGGACACCTCCAAAAGCACAACATATCACAACCAAATTTGACACATCTGAGAAAAGAGTTTCCTTTTTACTCATCTGGTTAAAAAGTCTCCTCATCCCTCAGTATGGAGGGACTGCAGTAGATCACATGTAATTTTCAGATTTCTGTCGTAACAACTGTGTTTAACTGCACGCCACGTTCTTAACCCTCATGTTGTTTCAGTCGTTTTGACCTGGAGAGGATTATCTTTTCCCCAAAAAATGCTAGTCAATGTTATTGCAATGGACTAAAACTTACTGACTTTGCTCACACAGGGTAACAACTTCCCAAAAAATGCTGATCATTTTTGTATGTTTTTGTGATTTTTTTTTTTATCCTACCTTTTTACACTTGTGGTGTTTCTGATCAAAAAATAATGGCCTACCAAAAACTGATTCTAAATCTGTTGTTATGCTATATTATTATCAAATATTGGATTCAATCTTTTAGTCAACTTACTTTCTTTCAGTTAGCACAGGTTTTGTATTTGTTTTTGGAACTGATGGATCGTAGTCGTCATTGATCTGAGCTTATGCTTCTCAGTTTTAGAGTGAACATTGACATGACAAACTTATACACAAATAATGCTGCTTCCACACAAACACTGAGGAGCATAAACTCAGATCAACGAGGCCAAAAACAAAAAGAAATACAAAATCTATGCTGATGGAGAGAAAACAAGTTGACAAAAAGATTGAACTTCAACTTCAATCTTTAATAAAATCCCTTCTGGGTGATTTGAATGCAAGAGTTGGTGATATTATAGCATAATGAGAGATTTTGAGCAATTTTGCAAAGGCTGGTCATTTTTGACCGGGAACACCAGATGAGGTGAAGGGTGTTCTCTGTGCTGATGCGGGTGAGTGCTGTGTTACCCTGCGGACTCCTGCGCTTCCTGACAGGTCTGCAGCACCAGCTCTTCTCTGATTGGCCAGTTCCTTCAGTGAGTTCACACCATCAGAGAACATGCTGATGAGCAGCTGCAGAGGAACCACGATGTCCAGCTCTGACAGAACCTGTAAAACACAGACGCAGCTGTTCACACACGCCACTGAAAAGATAGGTGTGTGGAGTCCAAATGTCCCCACAAGGACAATAAAATCTGCTACAGTCAACTGTCCTCACAAGAAACAGATTAATAAACATACTAAATAATGTTTTACTGTTTATTCATATCACACATCAAAGCTACGTTTTTAAGTTCACAGTGTACACTACAGTGTCTAGGATCATGGCACATTGGACACCAATATTTCAACAATTCATAAAACATGAATCACTGTCTGGCCATCTGAGATTTGGGTATGGAGATAAAGGTTAGGGTCATGATTTTCAGTACTATTGTGTGTGTGTGTGTGCTTACATATACAGTGGGTACGGAAAGTATTCAGACCCCCTTAAATTTTTCACTCTTTGTTATATTGCAGCCATTTGCTAGTGTGTGTGTGTGTGAGAGTGAGTGAGTGTGTGTGTTTACATATACATATGTGTGTGTGCGCTCACGTGAAGCCACAGCAGCGCTTGCTCCTGCACTGATGCTGGATATCCACTGAATCTGCAGCTGATGAATCCAAACATCTCCTCCATGGAAAAGGGCAGCGGACACAACTCAATGTCAAACATCTTACTGCAAAGAGAAACACAACAAAGAGTGAGATAAAATAATAAATCTGTGCCTCCTCAAAAAAAAAAAACTCACAACCCTCTCATCTCAGAAACAGCTTTGACTTTGTGAGGCACAAAATGAACAGAAACATTGTGTGTAAGAGTGACAGGTGAGCAAACACACTGATATGAAGCTCTTCACTGAGCAGATGGAGACTATGGAAACACTGACAGGTGTCACTATGGCAACACGTGTTATTGGACACAGAGGACACGTGTCTGGTGTGTCATGTACCTGAGGACCTCACGAAACTCCTTGAGCTGATGGTCAGGAACTTCAGTGCGAATCGCCTCCAGCCACTCGGGCATGAAACACTCCCACAGCGGCTGACTGATCACGTTATAGGGGATCAAACACAGGATGCGGTTCAGTCCTTCCTTCAGCTGCGTCACCGTGCTGCACGACTTATCCCAGTAACCGCCCCGCCGCTCTAAAAGCTCCTGCTGTTCTGAAGCGCAGCGGTTTATTGGTAATCTGACTCAAGAGGTCCTGACAATATCCAGCCTCTTATCTGACTCACACACACACACACACACACACACACGGATGCTGAAATCACAGAACGCTTCAATCACTGCAACGCACGAGTAACATCAGCGCTCGGTTCACTCACCCTGGCGAACTCCACCGGTTTGGGCAGAAGGCACATGACCATGACGTCGAAGCGCACGTCACACACCGTCTTCAGCCACTTGGTGACGAACTGAGGCTTGAGCTTCTCCACCAGGCTGCCCACCTCGTCGTCCATCATGTAGGCGGTGGAGTGGAACCACTGGAACACCATGCTGACCAGCCGCGCCAGACTCTCTGTCGGCGTGTTCTCGCTCGGCGTGCACAGACTCACCTGATCGAGTGTGTGCTCGTTAGTTTACTCGTTTACAGAGACAGCGTCAGTCATGGAAGAGCTGCTACTACAGGCAGGCCATACACCAGTTAAATCAATAGTTCACCCAAAAATGAACGTTTGCTGAAAATGTGCTCACCCTCAGGCTAAGATCAGGATGAGTTTGTTTCTTCATCAGATTTGGAGAAATGTAGCACTGCATCAGTGTCTCAGCAATGGATGCTCTGCAGTGAGTGCAGAAAAAATAGAGGGCTCATATTTGAGCCAGAAACAATGGTTTGAAGTTAAAAAAATCTTAATGCTGGATTAGTTTCAGCTTTTGTCTTCTCCAGATGTTAACTGATGGACTGGAGTGCTGTGGATTACTTGTGGATTATTGTGATGTTTTTATCAGCTGTTTGGACTCTCATTCTGACGGCACCCATTCACTGCAGAGCATCCATTGCTGAGACACTGATGCAGTGCTACATTTCTACAAACCTGATGAAGAAACAAACTCATCCTGATCTCAGATGAACTGAGGGTGAACACATTTACAGTACATGCTCATTTTTGGATAAACTATTCTTTTAAAAACATACTGGTAGTAATTTGCAAACAGTTATACATTTTTCAGCGCATTTAAATAATATTTTACCAATTTTTGTCTTTATCTGAGTTGTGAATGTGAGTTTTCAGTCTGAACAAAATGTGACGAGATAAAAAAAATATCAACAAAACATGAGACACAAGAAAATGAATTCAGGATTCACTGGCTTAACAGAATGAACTAAATCAACATCTGACTCAAGAACTGAACTTAAGTTATCATTATTATCAATAAATAAGACGCCTCATTGCTTACATGAAACAGCAGAAATTAACATTCAGAAATTCATCAAATATGTATCTACGGATACTTTGGAAATGACCATAAAGCCCATTGTTTTTTCAGCACTTTAGGGGGCTTTCACACTAGCACTTTTGGTGCAAACTCGTGTTTATTTGGATAATGTGAATGCTGTTTTCTGAACTGTGCCCGAGTCTGCCTAAACAGCGTGGTGTGGGGTACAGTTCTCTTCTGATGTGAACGCAATCAGGGAAGTGAGCCGCACTTAATAAGGTATGAACTGGTCAGACTGTGTATTTATGTGTTTACTCACTCGCTTTCCTGATAAGCGTGACTGACGCACTGCAAGCATAGAGAATTTAATTTCTGCTCGCAGAAACTGACTGCTGCGTTCTTTTGAACCTCTGCATTACAGTCATGACAAATAGACGCATGTGTTGCCGCTTTGGAAACGAACCTAAATTTTCAAATTCCAAAGTACACAAATGAAGCGAGCAGGCATCCATTAATTTGCGGTCTTCTGCACAGTCGTGACCTAGCAACAGGGGGAGCCATCGATCTCGGTTCGGACCCGGCAATGGAACCAAGTATGAAAGCACCCTTAATCACTTTGATAAAAATCATGATGAATATTGTTGCTTATTATCGCCCACCTCTAGCTGTGATAAGACTGCCAGCAGACGGTGTTATGATGTTAGCAGGTATAATATTGCTGCTTATGTAACACGTCGTCTGACCATAAGGGTCACAGTGGTCACACATACGCTTCTCACCAGAAACCAGATGCCGAACTGACTGAGCAGTCTCTGGTCGTGCTGGTCGTCCTCTTTGTTGTCAAACTCCATGTTGTCCAGGGAATGATGGGATGAAGACAGACCCATCTGACGGCGGCGGTTCAGCTCAAACTCCCGCAGCTCCGCGTGGATCTCAGCCTCTTTCAGCAGACTGCGGCGGGCGACAGTGACATTACATCACACTGATTAATGCTTGTTTCATATTAACATATGTGTTATTCAATATAACACATGCTCTGACAAAGAGTGAATCAGCATATCAGAATGATTTCTGAAGATCATGTGACACTGAAGACTGGAGTAATGGTGCTGAAAATACAGCTTTGATAATAAATAAATAACTAAATACATTACATAAATGCAGCTTTCGTGAGCAGAAGAGACTTCTTTCAAAAACATTTAAAAATCTTAATTATTACAAACGTTTGGCTGCCAGTGAATTAATATTTTTATATCGAATGTGTCTTATTCACATCCAGTTTTGTCAAGAGTATTTTTGCTGTTTTTGGACCTGGAGAGACTCAGTTTCCTAACAGCATTGTTTCTGTCTGACATTATGAAAGAAAATCCTGAACTGAAAGTCCTCTTTATGAAGCCGCACCTGATCACCGCCTCCACGGTGCACACCAGCTCCTCCGCGCCGCACTCGCGCGTGTTGATGGGCGGAGGAGACGTCTGGTACAGATGCGTCTCCGCTGACGCCCCCACCTCGCTGCTGTGGTGGTTGACATGACAACGCTTGCAGTAGCGCACGGGCCGGTTGCCGTGGCGACCGCAGCATCCCGCTGAGAAGCAGGTGACGACAGCGCGCCTGACGTGAGAGCTGCAGTTCTGTGACGGAGAGATGGATGAGAGGAAGAGATGGTCAATGAAGGGACGAGAACGACACAAACACACGTAATGAGCAGGACAGAGCGATTGTTCCCTGTAGCGTTTTCAGCCTTCACTTCAGAAACTCAGTAACAATGGCAATCTGATCGGCTGCAGAGGAACATGTGGAGCAGGAGCTTCATTTGTACAGCATTTATAGATGAGACGTGCTAGTTCACAGATGAGCTGATAATGGATGACCTAAAGATGATGACATGGACACACACACGTGACCACACACACACACACACACACACACACACACCCACACACACGTGAACACGCACACACACACACACACACATATCTATCTATCTATCTATCTATCTATCTATCTATCGTTCTGTTGATCTATCTATCTAGCAAAGTCTGTCGTTAAAGTATTTCTATATAATTGCCTCCCAGAACAGTCTACCACGAGTTCCCAAACAGCTGACATTCATCTCCGAAAGCAAGACCGCATTTATTGTGTTTTGTCTGCTCACTCGAAGCGCAAGTAATTTATAATATTTTACTTTTCTTAGTGATATTTAGTGCCAGTTTAGTAGTAAGTGACAATTTTGTTCTATCTGACTCGTTGGATGGAAACGGTGCTTATTCGCAAATGTTTTATGCGATAATATTCCAATTTTGCGCATAAGTTAAATTCACAACTTAGGATGGAAACCCGGCTATTGACTCGCTCAGGTTGAGTTATTCTGCCGGGCTCTAACTGATTAACAGGCTGTTGTACCTTGGAAGGGTGAGCAATTCCAGCGCCTCTGAAGCCGTGGTGCCGGCACACTCGCTGCAGGAGCATTCAAACAAAGATGCCTGGAGAAAACAAACAACACAGATGTCAGCCAATCAGAAACTACATCCTCCTGCTGATACGATTTAATCAGTAACGTCACTCACTTTGAAGTACTGCTGCAGTACTGTCAATGAGGCTTCCTTGAGGACTGATGACCAGCGAGAGGTAGTTGGAATCCTCTCTGAAGCTCCTCTGGAAGACACAGCTGAAACGACAGAAGAATATCAGCAACACATATAATCAATGAGTCTGAAATGAATGCAGGTGTGGATGTGTGATGCTACCTGTCGCATGTGCGCAGGCTCTATATTGGTTACGGGACAGGTGTACTGAGGCCAGTAGCTCTGCAGACGCTCGCCCTCCTCCTTCAGATGGGACAGGCAAACCATCAGGAACTCATGGGCGTCCTGAGAGAAGAAAGAGCGAGGGATGATAAGGGTAAATGCAAGTCTGAATGTAATACATCTGAGCATGAATATCCAGCCATCGTCTCCCTCACTTACTGATGGTCTCCCAAGAAATCAGGATGGCGAGATTCAACGCAGGCCTTCAGCGTAGACAAGAGCTTCGCCTTCAGATTCTTGCCGTTGCCTGTCAGCCTGGCCATGTGCAGGTCGGTGAGCGCCCTGGAAAGTAAAAAACTTTTTGCTGCTTTGAAATGGTCATTTTCCATTTAGATTGAAATATAATGTTGCATAAATTCAATGTTGGTACCTGAGCATTGTGCTTCCCTCATTCCACCGCTCCCGCTGGGAAAGTACAACGTCCCGGAAGGGGGAAACGGTGAGGAGGCACAGCAACACGGAGTTCATGTAGCACGTGTTGCCTAAATTGGGAAAACTGTGACGGGAGGTCTTCAGTTAGAGGGCGTCTGTGAAAGGCACGTTGTATGTGAGTATGTACCATCAATACAACATTTACCCCAAGTGCTTGATTTTGATTGGGGATGCTGTCGCCACAACATCCGCCAACTCAACATCATCCCACGTATCGCTGCCGCTGCTCTGTTGCTCAATCTCAATCTGCTCCTGCTTTGGACTGCCCTGTATGAGCTGCAGTATTTCGGCCTGGGACAGACTGTTGGACTGCTCCGTCATACTAGCCAGCACACCAAGGATGCTGGGAAAACATCAGGGATATGTTAACATTGTTCTTGTCCATGTGAGGTTTGCTTTTATACACACACACACACACACACACACATGTGACCACGCGCACACACACACACACACACACATCACACGTGACCACACACACACACACACACACATGTGACCACGCGCACACAAACACACCAGGCTTACCTTCTTCTGACATATAGCAGAAATTTCAGCTGTAAGGATGAAATCATAAGGGGCATTGTTATAATACAAGATAAGAATAAGATAAGACATGTTAGCTTTACTGTGAACTAACAATGAATTGTCCTTTTACAGCATTTATTCATCTGGGGAGATGTAATTTTCTACATATGCTAAAACGTTCTAGCATTTCAAGTATAAATTTACATTATTATGAACAAACATGAATTAACAATCATTTATGTATATTTTAACATTAATCTAGATTAATAAATGCTGTAAAGTTTTTCATTGATAGTTCATGGTACCTAATGCACTAACTAATCATATCAAATTGAACCTTATTTTAAAGGATGACAGAATGATCATTTTTGGGTGAACTGTTCCTTTAAGTAAATACAGGAGTGTGTGCAGTTATAGTTTTAAAATGAGGAAGTGTCACTGACCTTGTGGTAAAAGCACATCAACGAGCCACTGGGCATGATCGCTGTGAAAGATGACAGAAGTTCAGGAACACTAACATTCTCACATCTCCTTCTCTAGCTCAAGGTCTGATGCTAATCATCTAATATGAGCTGACAGACCGCTCCTCTTTCCCAGCCTGGTAAAAATGTCTACAGCGCAAATTTAAAGTGATCATGACATGCAGAATCATACGAAAAATCATCTTGTTCTGTACTTTCATGACTTTGCACAACTTTGGGTTAACACACAGTCCAACAAGAGTGGCTGGACCATTATACAGTCACACAGTCCAATCAACTGTTATCATTCACTATTATACTTGAAGCATCATTAAACATCAACAGAAAGTGTATCAGTGGGAGCCATAGGCTTTTCTTTTCTTTCTTTCTTTCTTTTTAAATAGGAAAGTTTATCAAAGTGAGATACAAACAACAAATCATTAATTCATTCTTCTTTCCTCACTAAACGCAATTATAAGATTAAAAGTAGACCTTATTAAAGTGGACCTTTTTACCCCTTTAAGATGAGATTGGCAGTTGAAGGCTGAGCAGATGATTCTGGATATTCACAGCAGTAATGCAGCAGACACACAATGAACTGCATGCTGAAATAATGCAGCTTACCCAGCGATCCTCTGGCTGCACTCTTTCATGACTTTGCACAACTTTGGGTTAACACACAGTGGGTGTTACCGCACAAGAGTGGCTGGACCATTATAAAGTCACACAGTCCAATCAACTGTTATCATTCACTATTATACTTGAAGCATCATTAAACATCAACAGAAAGTGTATCAGTGGGAGCCATAGGCTTTTCTTTTCTTTCTTTCTTTCTTTCTTTCTTTTTAAATAGTCCTGTTTATCAAAGTGAGATACAAACAACAAATCATTAATTCATTCTTCTTTCCTCACTAAACGCAATTATAAGATTAAAAGTAGACCTTATTAAAGTGGACCTTTTTACCCCTTTAAGATGAGATTGGCAGTTGAAGGCTGAGCAGATGATTCTGGATATTCACAGCAGTAATGCAGCAGACACACAATGAACTGCATGCTGAAATAATGCAGCTTACCCAGCGATCCTCTGGCTGCACTCCTCACAGATGTGTAACGGTGGAGGTTTGTCACCCAGCGCGACCGAGAGCGTTGGATCAATGCACATCTGAAAGCAGGACGGAGACACAGTCACTGGACCCTCAAACACTCACCACTCTCAAAACGTGTGTCTTATTGCTCAAAAAGTACAAAAACACTACTAAAAGTACAAGTTATGTTTAGGGTATTTTGCATAACTATTTTATTTTGTCTATCTTTTTTCCTTTTCTCCTTTTTCCCAATTTTAGTGTTGTGTAAATGAGATATTGCTTGAGTCAAGTGATCGTAAGCATCACGGTATTATAAGTATCTCAGGACACACCATCATTTTGGATGATTGTACAGACACTATTGAAGAGAGCTGAACTGGATGATGAATCACTGAATCATCAATGAACTGACTGTAGCTGGAAAATTACTCTGTTATTGTCTTCTTGCATTATTGACAAACTATTTTCCTGTTTGACACTGTAAAGCTGCTTTGACTTGACTTGACATGTCATAATGATTATTTTTACCTCTCTGACAGCCTCACTAGATCTGACAACAAACTGTTGGTTTTTAATATCTTCTGAAATAAACTCCATATAGTGCATGAACTGGTCTCAGTATCTCAGTGTTTGACTAGAGCGGTAACAGGGTTGAGCTCCTGGTAATTGAGTTACAGCATGTCTCTTCCTGCTCTGTTTCTATGTTTTATTACACAGAGCAAATATTTGCAGGGATAAAGACAATGAATCAGTACCAGAGGGGTGTATTTTTGAAATGATTCTGGGCATTTATATGCTTTGAAGTTCTTGTCTCAATCGCAAAATCCTTTCAGTGCACTGAAATGTGTGCTCCCTAAAAATCCCACAATCCCACAAAATCTACAACATTTTGACTAGATGTCAAAGCAAATACGTATAAAAAACAAAATCAGAGGTAAAGAGTTACAGTACCTTCACCGCTGGCTTATTAATAGAGTTCTGACACTCGAGGTGTTGGCAGTGAATGGGGTTCCAGGCTGGGATGTAAAGAACAAAACAGACAAATAATGTGTACATTTCAGGAGAAGGTCTGTCTCAAGCCACTGGAGCAGTGATGTCCAGTCTGTAAACATGTTGTTTTTAACAGTTCTTTTCTGTGAATCTTTCAACCAGTTCACCGAATCAGACTGAATCAGATCGGACAGTTGCATCAAAACTATCAGTCAATCAGTGAACCTCTCTCGAACGCGCCCGACAATTTGTCTGCTTCTACAATCATTTGTAGAAATATTCCCACAGAGAGTAAGAGCTCCTTCCAGCAAAATGTTACAAGTTTTCTGCAAATGTTTCAGGACACTAACCATTTAACATCCCCCCAGCAAACTGAAGTGTCAAAACTAGTGCCCCTTTCAGAGAAGCTGGCAGCATGGAAACTAACCAAATATCTCTCCTTGGGTCGTAAGGACTGTAGAAAGAGGATACAATATACAGTTTGCGTATCATGCTTCACGTTTCAACAACATGGTCTCCACTACTGTGAAACCAGAGCAGATGTGAACGTGTTCCCCTCCCAGACAGAGAGTCGGGCTATTACAGCTGGTACTTTTTGATTCCCAAGAAAGATGGGGGGTTGCATCCAATTTTAGATCGCAGTTTGAACCTCTTTCTCAGAACATACAAGTACAAGTTCAAAATACTAACAATCAAAATGATTGTATCTCAAATTCAATCCGGGGATACACTTTTGGGGGCAAAGCTTACAAGTATTGAGTTCTTCTGTTCGGCCTAACCTTGTCACCTCACATATACATGAAATATATGAATGCAGCACTGGCTCCTTTACGACTCCAGGGCATCTGCATTTTAAATTACATAGACGACTGGCTGATTTTGGCTCAAGAGCTTGCACTTCGACACAGAGATGTCATCATTGCTCATCTCAAGTCTCTGGGTTTGAGGCTCAATGGAAAGTAAAACGTTCTCTCTCCTGCCCAGAGGACAACATACTTAAAAGGTTAGTTCACCCCAAAATGAAAATTCTGTCATTAATTACTCACCCTCATGTTGTTCTAAACCCGTAAGACCTTCGTTCATCTTCGGGACACAAATTAAGATATTGTTGATGAAATGTGAGAGCTCTCAGACCCTGCATAGACAGCAACACAACTGAAATATTCCCAGACAGAAACATAGTAAGGACATCGGTAAAACATTCCATGTGTCATCAGTGGCTCAACTTAAGTTTTGCAAAGCTATGAGAATACTTCTTGAGCGCAAAGAAAACAAAAATAACGTAATTTATTCAACAATTCTTCTCCCCCAAGTTACGTCTTCTGCCATTTTGGAGAGTATCACAACACATACGCATGCTTTTCCCTAAGCGTAAACAACGCTGATTACACAGATTACGTTCATGCGCACTTTCTCCTCCGAACGTAAACAACGCTGATTACACAGATTACGCTCTTGGGTACTCTCCAAAATGGCAGAAGACGTAACTCGGGGGAGAAGAATTGTTGAATAAATTATGTTATTTTTGTTTTCTTTGCGCTCAAGAAGTATTCTCATAGCTTCACAAAACGTTGAGCCACTGATGACACATGGACTGTTTTACCGATGTCCTTACTACGTTTCTGTCTGGGAATATTTCAGTTGTGTTGCTGTCTATGCAGGGTCTGAGAGCTCTCACATTTCATCAACAATATCTTAATTTGTGTCCCGAAGATTAACGAAGGTCTTACGGGTTTGGAACAACATGAGGGTGAGTAATTAATGACAGAATTTTCATTTTGGGGTGAACTAATCCTTTAAGGATCATATGGAATTTGATCACATTGCAGGCATAGCTGTCTCCTGAATGTATTCTAAACACCCCGAAATACATCAGGCTAGGCTAGGTCAGGACATTACTTTCCGTTACTTTTCTAGGTCTCATGGCAGCTGCACCCACGATGATAAATTCGGGCCTCCTGCATATGAGATCGTTTAAGTTGTGGCTCAGAGCCGGGGGATTTATCCAAGGGCCAATCCCCCAGGGCAGATAAGGATTACACGCTGCAGATTTGTCCCCTTTCTATGTGGTTCAGACCCCGGTTTCTTACCTTGGGTCCCACTCTAGGTGTGTGTTTTTGTCGCAAGAAGTTAATGACAGACCCTTCTTGCATGGGCTGGGGTGCGGTCTTTGATGGCCATCCAGCCAAAGGGATCTGGAGAGGTCATCTTGAACGGCGCAGCATTTGCCTCGAAATGATGGCTGTATTTATGGCCATGAAATCTTCCTCCTGCAGTTAAGGGCTACCATGTCCTAGTGCAGGTGCACAATACTGCAGTAGTCGCTTACATAAATCGGCAAGACGGACTGCATTTGCGCTGCCTGAACAAGCTAGCGCTGCACATTCTGCTTTGGGCTCAGGACAAGTTCCTGTCCCTCAGGGCGACTTACATTCCAGGGCATATGAATGTGGGAGCAGACTTGCTGTCCAGACAGGACACACAGGGAATGGAAACTCCACCCCGAAGTAGTCAAACAAATTTGGGAAAAAATTTTAAGAAGCAGAGGTGGACCTCTCTGCCTTGCAGGAGACAGTACTTCCCCTCTACTTCTCTCTGACTCCTCTAGCTCCCCTGAGTCTGGGCGCGATGGCCCATATGTGGCCCAGACTGTGTTTTTATGCATTTCCGCCCATCGCCCTGCCCCTGGGAGTCCTGGCCCAGGTCCGCCAACAAGGGTCTTGCCTCTTGCTGATAGTACCTCGTTGGCTGACCAGAGTTTGGTTTTCAGGACTAATATCCCTCCTCGACGACTGTGAGCGATTCTGATCAGGAGAGACCTCTTATCTCAGGCACAGGGGACGATATTTCATCCCCGGCCCAAGCTCTGAAACCAACTAAAAGATGCTGCTATTTTATCTTGTGCAGAGGAAACTATTCTACGTGCTAAGGCTCCCTTCACTAGAAGACGTTATGCCTTCAAATGGTGTGTTTTTGAAAGATGGTGCGCTGGACACTGAGCAAACCCAGTCCAAGTTATTTCAGTGGTGGAGTTCCTGCAAGAAAGACTCTCAGAGTCTATGTGGCTGCCATTTCAGCTTGATGGGGACCCTATAGGAAAACACCCTCTAGTCGCTCGCTTCATTTGTGGAGCTAAGCGGTGGAGGACACCTGCCAGTGTGACAGTCCCTTCGTGGGACTTTGGTGTAGCACTTGAGAGTCTGGTTAGGACCACTAGAGTCAGCGCCTCTCAAGCTTCTGACTCTAAAGATGGCAATCTCATGGCAATAACTTCTCTAAAGAGAACTGGGGATTTTCGCTATCCTATTTTGCCCCTGGACTATTTTGCACCCTCACTCTCATTATCTTCCTAAAGTTCCATTCTCGACCATGCATCTAGTCATTCTTGAAGCCTTCTGTCCTCCGCCATTCACTATGCCGGATCAGGAAAGACTTCACTTACTGTGTCCAGTCTGTGCCCTTCAGATTTATGTCCACCGCACCAGCCAGTGGCGCAAGTCAGAGCAGCTTTTCATATGCTATGGGAGCCGCAACTGGGGGGCGGCTGCCACTTGGCAAACAATGTCACACTGGGTTAAGGGTGCTATTGCCCTAGCCTATGAGGGCATGGTCAAGCTTCACCTCCAGGAGTTAGGGCCCATTCTACTAAGGGGAGCTGCAGTCTGGTCCTCCCCGCACACGTTCATCAGGTTCTATAGTTTAGATATTCATGCTACTCCAGGCTCGCATGTTTTGAGTCAGCATCCCAAGGTCATGTCTGAGACCTCTCCAACGTTTTTGCGTACACACTACACAGCCTTGAGGGGTCCAGACACTTTCTAGTGTGCCGTGGTTGGTATTCTCATTCCCATTAGTGTTATGAAATGCAGCATTGAGCATGCACGTCTCAGGTTATTTAACTGTAACCCTGTTCCCTGAAAAAGCTGGAACGAGATACTGCACCTAATTGCCGCACTGTGGGCATGTCTAGTCATCTCTTCAGACAAAGGTATAACCTGAAGGTGCTTTTCAGGGATATAGCTTTTGATAGGGAACGTCTCAGGTTATTTAACTGTAACCCTGTTCCCTGAAAAAGCTGGAACGAGATACTGCACCTAATTGCCGCACTGTGGGCATGTCTAGTCATCTCTTCAGACAAAGGTATAACCTGAAGGTGCTTTTCAGGGAACAACATTACAGTCAAGTAACCCGAGATTTTCCTAATCTATTTGTAGAATAGTAAAACTTAATTAAGACCTAATCAATGCTAGCCTGTCACATTCACTGATTAAAACATTGATGACAATAAACCCCCCAAATTAATATAACTGAATGGATAATTCACAATGCAGGTGTGTGCCTGACTTTATCCAAATGTGTTTGAGCATGTAAACCACAATGATGAGATGTTAGAAATACGTGCTGACATTATTGCTTTGACCTGGTTCATCGAAACCAACCATTTGAAAGCAGTGGTTTTGAGAAATTAATCAAACATCTCACCTGTGTACTGCAGGCCTCTGTACTCACTGATGGCACCGGGAGGCTTCAGGTTGGGCCAGTAATGGAAGAGCATTTGAACAGCTGGAGGTTTGACTTGGGACGGGCCGTAGGATATGACGTACAGAAGATCCTTTAAAAACACAGTGATCTCTGAGTCAGTGAGAAGCGCTTTTGGAAAAATCTCCCAAAAGACATGAAGAACCGAAGCATACCTTCCACACCTCCTGCTTGTATTTCATGAGACACTCCAAAAGCTGACAGTGGTACACTGAAGACAACCAGAGAAACAGTTAGAGCCCAGAACCCGCTCTGTACTGAAAAAGCTACACTATGATAGAGTCTTCTGCAAATAACCATCAGTGATTGATTATAGAAGTAACTTTCTTGCAGCCTGATAAATGCATATGTACCTGGATTTGAAGTGTACTGCATGGTGACCATCAGCATGGAGGAGGCAGACAGATTGACATATGCTGGAATGCCACCCTCTCTTCGAGTCGAACCCACTGCAACACAAAAATAATTTTCTTGCTTCATAGTGTACGATTGTCACATGGTGCTGCATTTATTGGTGCTTGCTGCTAATCAAACCAGCAATGGAAGCACAATGTGATCGCTCAAATACTGAAGTTATTCTCTGACTCTTTCTTTGAAGAAACATCTCTCATAGTCACATAAAAAAAGTTAGTTTACTCACAAATGGCCATGGGCAGGAAGGACGTGCTCAGGTACTCTATGATGTCTTTGTGCAGGAAAGGAGGGAAGGTGGCTAAAGTGGAGATCATGGTGTAGGGTAAAGTGCTGAGAATATCATCACACTGGTTTCGAAAGCAATGTCTCATGTTCGTGGAGGGATGTGGAGGGTGTTTGTGTCTGCTGTCCCCTGTCAACTTCTACCTCAGCAGTAATTTGGTCTGTGATGGTCTTGGAGGGAGAGGAGAACGTAGTTGGATGTGCGTCACATACAACAGGATGGTGTAGTATTTCTCACACTGTCTCTTATCAAAGCTACACATGTCAGCCCTGTTTGGCTGGGAATGAGAGGTGGTTCAGCTGCAGAATGCTACATGAACAGCGTTCTCGACAAGAAAAACTCTCTAAACATTTCAAACCCACTGAAGACTACGGAAATCCAGTATTTCATATCACTGACAGTACTCTCATTATCAACTCTTCATGACAAAAACACTGATAAACAAAAACATAACAGGAATCACAAATACACACGACTACATACTGTTCTCAGATGCTAAACTTGGTTTCTCTGCTTCATCGAGCATGCACCTTTATTAGACTGTTTCTACTGACATGTGAACATGAGGAAGAGCTCTTACACATAACGTGAACTCGTGAGTCTAACTATAATTCTAACTATAACTACTGACATTTAAAAGACAAATATTAAGGAGAAACAAAAACAATACTCGACTCAGAACTTCCCTGATAGTGTTTGAAAAACTGTTTGAGTCTCTCTCTTTAAACAATTTATCCAAAATGTGTTCTTTTGGCATGCATGAGGTTCCTGCATATATCTGATCATAAAATAGAGCTCTAATGTCTCGGTGGCTATAGAAATGATCAGATTTAGATAGAAGATGCTATATTTATCTGCTTTGAAATCATGAAACTAGCTCTGTCTATCATTAGAACACAACATTAGCAGTGTTTGTATTGCACCTATATTTCCAGTGTAGTGCACTTACCTGAGCAGCGTCTGGGAAAAGTATTTCAGAGTGTTTGCAATGTCTGTTCCCGATGGCACTGGGTAAATATTGTGAAGCACACGGTTGTGATACTCTTGCAAGTATCGAATCTTAGAGCCAACTAAACAAATAAAGAGCAAAGTGACACATAATTAACATTTAATAGTATTCAACAATCCGCTGCTGCTGCCGCTTTGTGCTGTTTGATGGAGAAATCAGTAAATGATCATCTCTCTGAAACTGCTCCTGACAGCAGCACAATGACATCTGTATTTTCACAGCGTTACTGCTGAAAGAAGACAGGTTTTCTAACTTGCTCTCATTTCGAGTGAGTTTTCCACGCTGTTCTTCCAGTCTGGATTGTCAGATGGACAAATGAATGCAGTGAAGGAACCGCTGGAGCTCAGATGTGTCACACAACAGCGTCTGTGAGCTCTTGTATCACGATGAACATATCTCTAACACTGGGTACAGATGTTTTGCTCCTATTTTTTAACTCTCATCATGTTGTTTTCTGTCCCAAATGTAAGTTAACTGAAGACAGGTTTGGAGCAACTAGAGTGTGAGTTAAAGACAACAGAATGTTTCTGATTATTAGTGATGTAAAATGCTTAAAAAAGGTCAAAATTCTGTGCAAAGAAAAAAATGGCATTGTGCTCTCTGTGAGTAATGAACTAGATTAAAATAAAAATATGGGCTATTGTAAAGAAATACAATATGTTTTATGTATTTTGTTTCCTCTGTACGGATATTTATTGTATGAAATGTATTAGATTACGTGGTTATAATTATGCTTTATTATTACATTATGAGTTACCATAATGACGAGTCCATAACATAATTACAACCTATTACAGTATGCAAAAACATTACATTATGTGCTCACAATTTTATTTATATTATGAACATTTTTTTTTAACATTTGTCCTTTTATATGATGTGCAGTTTTTACATTGTGAGGATCTTGTCTTATGACAGACTGTTTTCAGTCTCCTGTAGATCTGCATAAACCTGAATAAACCCTGACTGTTGAGTTATAGACTAATGCTCATCTACATCTCAGCATGATATACAGTCAGTTATAAAGTCTTGTTTGTGAGACTAGACCTGCATTAGACTAATGTTATTGACCACAGATACATGAAGCATGATGTGTCCAATAAAGATCAGGTGTTACATATGATCAAAAACAGAAGATTTAAGCTCAGCATGTGTTTGAATAGCAGTATGAATGATCGGTCAAATGATTAGCATTATTTTATAATTCGCTATAGTTTGCATTGATGCTTATTTTCGAGGAGGACCGAGTGTTGGGCAATAAAACAGACAGCAGCGCCCCCTATCAAGCAGCTCAGACAGCACTGCTCACCTCCATCACACACACCAGCCAGCATCTGATTTCTCTAAATAACAGCATGATTAGATGAACAAACACATGCAGTTCATCGGCGTTTAAACCACAACTCGAGCTTGTGTTTCGCTGCAGGGATGGCTGGACTATTCGACCTTGAAAAAAAAAACATCACATCTTCTGCACCACATTATCATTATCCAAGTCTAAAATCTTCCCGTCAGCTGTTATTGTAAAGCTCTAACATTTTTACCCTCCGTACTGTACAGTATTTATATCTATATAAATATACACATATGCGCTCAATCAGACTGCTGCCGAAACAACGCCGCTCCCTCCGAGATTATATTATATATTCCATATATTACTCCATACAAGACCCAGCAGCAAGCGTCGTCATACTTACATTGCTCTGCCTTCGTAGACATGTTAGCAAGTGTCCTGGATGCAGAGCAAGCGTGCAGATGTCAGACCGAACACGACACAGCTCTTCTCTTCAGACCGAGCAGCTGCTTTAGCTAAAACCTGTGCGCACAGCATCGACTATTCCTACGCATTTTTTACAATATGTTCTTCGTATTTTTTGGACACATTACATATGATATACAAAGGATATTACTCAGTTAAGCACACAGTCATCATGTTTTGTTCTTTTTCATGAGCATTTAAATAAAAGAAAAACAAAATCTTACTATAATGACTCTACATATCTGTTTAATTACCGTCATTCTGCTTTGACCGTATAGCTAGATGAGCTGTCATCAAATATAGTTTTTCATTCCTTGCAGCAGTTGTCATTGGCACACTGTAGGAGCCTGAATATTACTTCTATTATTAACAGAAACCTTACAGATTCGGTCAAAGAGTCATGCAGAGCTGGAAGAGACGTGACTGATGCTGGAGGTCACATGAGAATGCAAACATGGCAGCTGGAGCAGGGCTATACTCTACACACCCGAATATAATGATCACAAAGAGAAGTTCACCAAATGTAGCAGTGTTTTGAAATGAATCAGTTCTATTGCCTCATAAATACAGTCTTGTCACCACCTTCTGGCGTGTCAGTGTAACTGCAGAAAGTGACTGTAAAATAACACACATTATGGAACAAACACAAACAGTGAACGGTCCCAGTGCTGTTATATCAGTCAAAGTGGACCGACAGTGCCTTACTGAGAATTAACAGAGGGAATCTAGAGAGATAACAATAATAATAAAGGAGCAATAATAATGAAATAATTAAAAGGTCCACACACTAGCAATGGTGTTTTTGCTCTGAGACTTTATTAAAGAGGATCCACCCTAAGGATAAGTTTCATAATACTCTCTGACGTTGATGGGTTCAGTTCAACCGCCTCTTCTTTCTTGTTTGCAGTTCCTCCAAAAACTCATGGAAAGCCTCAGGAGTGACGTCCTATAAACAAACTACATCCATTAGAATCGAGTTCACTTCTTAATTTTCTCAGTGACTGACATAGAAGCTGCTCATCTTCACCTTTCTCTGGTTTGCAGATTGTTGAAGAAACTCACGCAGCTCGTGTTTCAAGTCATTGAACTCTAGACACAAGAAAACAAGTCCACATTTCATTTTAAAAGCAAAGGCACTTCTAGAACAAATCCTCTTTAAAACAAAGACACACAAACACTGGTGGCCAAAAGTTTGGTATAATTAAGTTTTTTTATGTTAAAGTCTCTTATTCTTTAGTGTCACATGATCCTTCAGAAAGCAAGATAAAAAAAAAAAAGAAACTAACACTTTATTCAGCAAGTATGCGTTACATTAATTACCACTTAATTTCTATTTCAAATAAATGCTGTTCTTTCTGTTCATCTGTGAATCCTGAAAAATAAAATGTATCTCAGTTTCCACAGAAATATTGTGCAGCAATATTGTGAAAAAAATGTACACTGTTTTTACTGTATTTATGGATCCATTAAATGCAGCCTTGGAGAGTATAAAAAACATTTTTTTTAAAGTTTAATTATTCCAAACTTTTGGCCACCAGTGTACATGTGTGTGTGTGTGCGCGTTTTTGTGACAAATGAGGACATAAATAAAAAGTTGTAAATATTTTAAATTTTTTTAAAAAGCTTTTAAACTTCATACTGAAAACTGAAACCCACCTTGCAGTCGGTACATGTGCAGAGTTTTGCTCTCCAGAAATAAGGCCAGAACACAGCACCGGCCCTCGCGCTCGCCGCGTCTTTGGCCTTGAGCTCATTTAAAACACATTCGGTGACTCTGGAGTGAGCCGGCACTGAATCCGGGCTGGACGTGCGGCCTGCGGCTCCAGCCGTCTGATGAACACACGACACTCATTCACACTGTGTGTAGGCTGGGACACACCAATCTGGATCAAAGCATGTTTGCACTGGACTCGGGTTAATCACACAACATGCCGTTTCTCACCGTTTCTTCCTGCTGACCGTACGAACATTTTCCCTTTTCTTCTGTCATCATATCAGCATTCGTTTGCTCTTTACAAAGGCTTTCTTTCTTCACAGGAGAAACTAGAAGAGAACACAAAAACAGATATAGATACCATTTAAAATAGATTTTTTTTCAGCAAAGCAATGATGCAGTGACCGCAGCGTGACGAACTCAACCTTCTGCCATCAGCAGAGATCCTTGTTACTTCACCGACACCCCGGCACAGAAATATCTTCATACATAGATTTAAAAAAACTAAACTGATCTTTAGCAATGTACAAACACAAGACCACGTCCTACAGACACAATCAAACTGCCCCACCTGCAAAATGAGCCGCATACGTCTGGAGGAACGGCGCTCGAGTCATACAGCGACCGCAGATCATCTCCATCAGCGCCTCACAGTCCACCGCTGGAGCCTGCAGATGCTGAAACATCAAGAAGAAGAAGAGTCCAGCGGAAAGGCAGAATAAAACAGAGAGTGTGTGTGTGTGTGTGTGTGTACCTTCTCGTGGAACCAGTCTTCGCACACGATACACTGGATCATTTCTTCATTAACCTTGAAAGAGTTCAAACGAGTCACAAACAGGTAATTCACCACTAGCCTTCATCATACAGTAAACGCTGAGGGTCAGAAGAGTCACAAACCTGGTCGTCTTCATCAGGATACGGTCTGTCACACGAGCAGTAGCGTCCCAAGTAGTTGTGATTGTACCAGTTCTTCACATTCTGTCCTTCTTTGTCCTTTGAACGTCACATTACATCACAACACATTAAATCACGTAAAACATCAGGACAAACTCAAACATTCATCATTTCAGACACTTACAGTATCAAGCTTGCATTTGAAGCCATCAAATTTCTCATTGCCACAATCACATCGAAAATTCCTGTGACAAAACAAACAAACACACTCATGAACAAACATTTAATCTGCAGAACAGAAAAAAATACAATCGAAGTGTTTTCCCTCACAGACATGTCAGTGAGCGAGTTATTTCTTCAAATATTCTGACTGCTTGACAAGTGAATTATTTCAGTCAATCTCAAGGCTTCAGAAGTGCTGATCAGATGAATGGATGAATCTTTCAGACCTTTTGGTGTAAAGTTCACAGATGTCGTGTCCATCATGACACGTGTTTGCACAGGCCAGACACACACCAGCCGGCTCCATACCAGCCTGAACACACGTGTTACACGCAAACACAGCCTGCCTCTTCATGTAGCCCTGAAACACAACAAACAAACAGCTGAACACACCAAACAACCCTCAACCTGCCACAGCAAACAAACACCTTTACACACACACACACACTATATACACACACACACACACTCTCTCTCTCTCTCACACACACACACTCCCTCTCTCTCTCACACACCCACACACTATACACACACACACACACACTCTCCCTCTCTCTCACACACACTATATACACACACACACACTCTCTCTCTCTCACACACACTCTCCCTCTCTCTCTCTCTTACACACACTCACTCACTCACTCACTCACACACACACACACACATTACCTTTGGATAAGAGCAGTGATCGGGGTCACTTCCGGCCAGTACAGCGAACGCCTCGTACAACTCATCTACTGCACACTGATCCATCACAGCAAGCAAACAAACAAACACGACACACACGCACTGAGAATTACTAAAGCATCACGTGAACCGATGAAAGAGCGGCTCTCCTAAGCGCGAATCGCCGCAGCACGTCACTTCCGGTTTGCGAGTCAACAAATGATGGTGGGAATCGTGCTGGTGTAACATTGTTTCATTTGAAAACCAGTGCGTTTCAGCAGCAGCATAATTGTGTGGAATTATTAACAGAATTTTAAGTCCAAACCAGCTGAAATTATCAAAACGTTAATGTCACTCTTTTATTATTACTATCATTATGCATCGATATTATTACTGTGGTGTTATTTTATCTCACAACAGATTTTCCTTCAAATGGTTTGTTGTGTTTCTTAAAATGTTGAATTACATTATATTCCTTGGATGCGTGCGCTTTTCTGTTTGTTGTGTTTGTTCCGCACGTGCTGTTTCCCCTCTGCGTTGTCAGGGTAACGTGATGCGTGCTGACGTCAGCAAAGGGTGAGCGCTCCTCGAGCGGTCGGGATCGTTTCTCGGTGTATTATCGGTGCAGATGGAGGTGACGGTCTCGATGGAGCCGCTGTTTCTGGCCTGGAGCAGCTGCAGGAGACGGAGGTTCCAGAGATGCGCCGACATTTGCTCACAGCTGCTGTCAGAAAGCCCGCTTGACCAGGTCAGTCAGTCAGCGGTTAGCGGTTAGCTGAGGGAGCCGCGGATCAGCGCTCATAAGCGCGTTATAACCCTTCTGTCTCAGTATTACTCACTCGATCCTGGTGCTGGATTCTGAACTCTAAGTGTTTGCTGACATGTAGCGATCTGATGATGTTTAATAAACGTGTTAGAATAACAACATGCATGTTTTATTGATTTCGTGCTGTTCACACTCTCATCATTACTGTGTTGCCAAGGAGCCTGCTACTTGTCATGTTTCTGAGGTAATTGTTTGTAAAACTTTCATTAAGCTCAACTGTTCCTTATATTATTTCCCCAATATTTCCTGCATATTACTCCCAGTATTCCCTATATTACATACCCATATTATTAGTCTAGTATTCCCTCTGTTAGCTTGCGCTGTGCTCAACCCTGTCCTTCAGTGAATGTGGAAACACCGTCATCCTCTGCTACAATGTAACAGCCCTGGATGATCTGAAGAGTGTGACGTCACACTCAGAGACGCAGTAGCACGTCACCCAGCCTCTTCTGAAGGGCTGTTGTGGTATAATAGCTGAAGCTGATGTGGTCTGATGGGTTTTAGGCGGCGTGGAGCTTGAAGACCAGAGCTCTGACGGAGATGGTGTACATCGATGAGGTGGAGGTGGATCAGGAAGGCATCGCTGATATGATGTTGGACGAGAGCTCCATCGCCCAGGTTGCACGTGAGTATTAATTGTCCCAGCAAAATAATTTACATTTCAGCCCATCAAGTCAATATTATTTGTATATAGTGCAGCTCAGTTGTTCCAGGTCTTTAGGCCCTAGTGAACAGCTTCACATAACTATACGTATAACATGTATGTTTCTCCATTTATTCTGCACATGTTTTGGTTTCGTCAGGTCCAGGAACGACGCTGAGGCTTCCAGGAACGAGTCAGGGAGCAGCGCCCACTCCAGCTGTCAGGTTCGTCTGCTTCTTCAGACTGTTTAAGCTACCCTACAGTAACCTTTGGCCCTCTAGCAGCTGCAGCCTGAAGCTGTAAATTACTCGCAGCATTGTTGTAGTGATTACAGTAGAGCCCGACCGATATGGGTTTTTTTGTGACCGATACCGATATTAGCGAGTAAAGAAATGTCGATACCGATATATCGGCCGATATTCTTTATGCGTAGGCTATATTATAGTACAGTATGGTCAAAAGTTTGGACACACTTGGGTTCTATTCTACACCGGACGCGAGCGAATAGAATTCTATTGTATTTTGTCACGCCACGCGATGTGACCGATGTGATAAGCATGAGTTCTGGGCCGTGTTGCGGCCGGTATAAACACCAGTCCAGCCGCGATCAGCTCCGGTGGCCGTAACACAGGCTTTAATGCGCCGCAGACACGTGCCGTGATGCACAGATCAGCTCTAGTCTCTAACGTCACTGAATCTGCTGTTAAAAATGAACCATCCATTCATCATATCATCATGCAAAACTAAGAATTAGAATCATTGTAATGTGACGATCAAATATAGCTGCGGGTGGATAATTTGAAGCAGCGGACTCGGGTGAAGTTTGAGCTCATCCGCGCATCTCTACACTACATTGACCTGGGTCGCCAGTAGCAAACAATGGAGCGCGCTCTGCTGGACAAATGAAGTAATTACACCATTCAGAAGCATTTCATCTGCGTTATATGTTCTGTAAAAAAAAGTTCATATCGGCGGCATATTCGCCGATACCGATATATTGGCGACAGGCTCATATCGGCCGATAATATCGGCTAAAAGATATATCGGTCGGACTCTAAATTACAGTACGTGAGTGCTTTGGCTCTGCTATTACAAGTAGTGATGCACTGAAATTTCAGTAACTGAAGATGTTCAGCCAAAACATCAGTTCTCTGTTTCGGCTGAAATCGTTTTGGAGGGCCGAAATCTTTTACTGAAACCGTGAGGTTTAATTAGCGTTTCTCAGGTGGCGCGTTTTGACTGTGTCAGTGTGTATTTCATGCTCATAATGTGCTAAACTACAACTACATAGGGCTACATAATAGATACATAGATAAACTACAGCCGGTTAACATATGTCAGCTGTGTGGACGCTAGTGATGGATTAACAATATTGATTTGTCATTTTATAATTGTTACTGATATGGATTCATAAATCTCTAGTCTGTGCTGTCTTCTGTTGATGTGTGAACATCACGCACCTACCATCAAATAATCACAATAAGCTCTGCACTTTGTTAATTTTGATATGAAGCAAAGTTTCGGCTTTCAAGTACTTACAAAATTCAAACAATAAATCACGAGCAAAGCATGGCTTAATTTGGAGTAGGGATGGGCGATATGGACTTAAAAATATATCACGATATTTCTGGTATTTATTGCGATAACGATGTCAATGACGATACTTCAGGGAATCCTGTTTCTTCAGAAAAAAGTATTATCTTTCCTATTTTTACCCAAAATATTGTGTTGTGAGCATTGAGTACACACCATAGACTGTATAAAAACATGGACGTAGTGTCCGTGACGTCACCCGTAGGTTTCTAAAGAGCGCTTTTGAAGCTCAAAGTGGGCGGAGCGGGCCGTCGCCATCTTGGCAGCACGTCACGCCCGGATAATCGAAAATGGGCAAAAAGGCGGGAGCTGGTTGCTGAAGCCACACCCACCTAGCTCAACAGCAGTGTCAGCAGCGGCAATCCCCCTGTCACTCAAGTGGCCACGACCCTTAATTATGCAGAACTTTAAGGCTTAATATAATTTAAACGGATGAGTTATAAAAAAATTCAATAAAAATATTGATATTATTAATATAAAAAAATAATATTTTGAACCAGGCTGTAAACATGTTTTTTT